TGAGAGGCTGAACTGCTGCTGAAAGCCTTACAATTGTTTAGGTGAAATTGCCGCGACTTTCTTGCCAGGCCTTGGCCCAAAAAGCTTTGTCAAGAAGCTCTGCAGGTTCCTCCCGGATCCTCCTTCGCAGGACACAGGCCGAGATCAGGAAACGAGCGAGGCAAGTCGAGAGCTTTAAAGGAGGTCTTTAAAAACTGTCTCCGGTGCAATTAGCATTTTTCTGGATAATGCTGACATCTTGACAAAGATTCGTGCTAGAATTAATTTATTGGCGGCACACCGGGAATGAATTCTCGCCGTGCGCTGGTAGGATACGTGCGCTCCCGTTTTGAACTTTCTGGTTTTTCACCTACCTGAGCAGAGAACGCCAGGTTCTGAAACGCTTGGCTCCCACAGGGTGATAGCGATGGTGCGGATAAAGCAAAAAGTGAAAGCTCTGCAAATACCTTACAGCACACTCAGAATCTTTAGTAATACTTTTATTTTCCTTACAAAGTAGACATTTCTAGGTGTGTTTTCCTGTTGCTTTTACCTGTACTAAAAGAGCAGCAAGATTTCTCTAGAGTGAATGAACCCTGCGTTAGCCTAGTTTTCTTAAGTTTCTATTCCCTTCAACTTACAGTTAAAAATATACATGGTAATACATAAGCTGACTGGAAATCCTGAGATTTATTTCAAGCAGCTTTGATACAGTTAATTAAGGCCAGTTCAAGTACAAATACGTTGGAAAGGAAAATTCATCCGTGTACCAGAAACGAAACCCCTCAATTCAGTGAAGCCTACGGCCCGCACCGTCTGCAGCATGGTCTTCCGATGCGCTTAACACTTGCGTGTATGGAAGGTGGAAAAGACGTTACCAGAAGGCAGCCAGCACTAAAGTCTTCCTAGCTAGCTATACTTCATCCGATATGGAACAGATCTAGAGATGTTATTGCAGCTCTGAAAGTCTGAATATTGGCCTAAATCAATTAAAACTTTGTAAGAAGCGATCTGCGTGTGAACACACAAAATACAGAATCGATAGCTGACCACGTGGTAAACAAACCAGGCTTCTCTTTATTACTCCCACTGTTCTAAAGAAAGCGAAGATCAGAATTTTCTTCTAAGTGGTACCGTCTGAAATTTAAATCTTTAAACTCAGCTAAATAGCTGCTACTTGGAAAAAACAAAACAGCTTCTAGTAAGTAGTAAAAGAAACCCCCGAATCATTAGGTCATATTTTGGGTTTCGGAACAGTTCAACAGAGAATATTAATGGACCCTCAGCATTACTGCCGGGGAGTCTAACCTCGGGCAGGTGGCAGCGACTCCAAGACGGGAGATCCTCCGTGATCTCCCAGGAAGAGGAGCGGGCACGTGAAAGTCCACGCCGTCCTAGCTGTTGCACAGTAGCTTCCAAATGTCAGGATCATTCTGTGGGTGTATCTACCTGTAGGTCTTCACGCATTGAAGTCGCAATGAATACAGACAGTAAATGGATTCTGTTGCTAAGTGCAGTGGCATCAAACAGCTAACGGCACTAAGTCACAGGCTTTCTTTGGGAGAAAGGAAAAAAAAGAAACCTCCAGCCGAGGGGGCAGGGTAAGCAGCTGCTGCCGAAGGCTCTGCTACGGCCAGAAACCGTGTGTCGTCAGTGCGGCAGCAGCCGACTTGAAACATCTATTCCTCAGTGGTGGCTGTGAAGAAAGAAATCGTAACCCCCTGCAGTGTTTGATCAGTTGTGTCAAACTGCAGTAGTATCTCCCACTGTTCCTACCGTCATGTTGACATCTGCAAATCTAACAGAGGAAGTAATTACAAATGTAATGCTTTGCTAATGCGCTGACTTTCTTTTCAACAGCTAGCAAAAATGTCATGTTAAGGGAGAGGCTACTTCAGTTAAAGGTGTTCCCAAAGTTGTAGCCCTTACAGTTTTCATGGTTAAATTATTGCTTCACCACAGTCATTTGTACCCTTATTCCTTCTCCCGTAAGCTGCAATCCTCTCCCAACAAGAGTTCGTTCTGTCTGGACAGTGCACAAACTAAAATTTTTGGCTCCTTTGCTATTATGCAACCGATTCTTTTCACCCTTGATTCAAATACAGAAGTCTTAAAAAAGCAAGCTGAGAATCGCCGTTAGTTCTCTGGGCAGCGATCTGACCCTGCTTTGCTATTAAGTATTGAACGCTGTATACACAGTCAAGTAAAGGAACAAAGTCTATTACAAGAGATCACCAACTGTATTATACATTTAATAAATGAACTGGGATCCATACACCAAAACAGAACATTGTTTACATAATGAAGTGGAAAGTAAAAACACTACCTCTCGCTAGTAATTTTTTTACCTATAGTATACCAAGTTATACAATATATTTATAGGTTACTTCCAAAATGTTTTAAACATCTAAATTTTGCATTCCCTTGCATTAAAAAAATTACATATTAATTACTCTGGAAAGTTTCTGAACTCTGTTTAGCAGTAAATCTCCTTTCTTGATGGTTTCTTGGTACTGCCAGTTCTTGCTATCAGGCCTAGGAATTGTGGGGGGGGAAAAAAAAAAAGGTTTAGAAGTGAGAATATATTTTACACCAAGCCACTTACATTTCTGTAATAAGTGTCATCAAAATGTATAGAATTAAACTGGGCTGTCAAAAACGATTTCTAGGAAATGTTAGCATACCTGTTAGTTTCTACAATCTCATTTACTTTGTCTATTTTGCAGTGTAATCGCCCAGCTGCAATAAATCTTGAGAGCTCCCTGAGCAAAGGAAAAAAAAAAACTTGGTTAAACCATGTTTCACCAAGGGCTTGTAGACTTAGCAGTACTGAACCTGCCACTACAAAACAATATTGTCACCATACTATATTTCTGAAACAACAGCCTATATATTTTCATAAGGTATCTTATGGATCCTCATCTTATTAAAGCTCAGACATTACACGCAGGAATAATCATTCTAGCCCTCCGAATACAAAATGTCGTATTTTCTTCTCAGGCCAAGGTGTCATACTTGAGTTGGTGAAAGTTATCACTTGGCTTAGCATCAACCACTCTTCAAATTCAAAGGTAGCAGTCACGTAGTGTGCCTATTCGGAATTCATCCTGATGTAGATATCTTCGTGCCAGTCAATTCGTTAGAAAAGCCTTTTAATAGCTCCCTACTCTCTAGTAGCTCTAAATATGCGGCTTTTTTTTTGTTGTTGTTATTATTTTGCTTAATCAGTTGGTGGTCTACAGCACAGTACTTACTGATGGTAGAAGAAAATATTCCTGTGATCAACAGTAAGACAAGTTACAACTAGTAATAAATTACTGGGAAGCATAAGAACTAGTATGACTTTAAAACGTTTACCTTTGAATTGAATGGTATTTGGTTTCTCTTGGAACACCTATTAATTCATTTCTGAGTATTTCAAGCAGTATTTGTCTTTCTGTAACGCTTTTCTATGTTAGAAAACCTGAAACTCCTCCATGAAAGAAGAATGACTCTTGTGAAGGAATTTGAAACAAAGCGTTTCATGTACATAGAGTAAAAGTCAATTTCTCACTTGACGTTAGTTCTCACCGTGATCTAAATCTGTTGGTTTTACACTAGAAAAGAATTGCAAATTGAGACCGCAGTGTATGTTTGATTTAAGCGAAAATATCAGATCCTGTCCACGTACCAGCAAGCAAGCAAAACGAAATAAGGAGACTTGTAGGGTACATAAAACGTGCGGATCCCCAAAGTTGTAACAGTTAAGTTTTCGCATCGTTGTGAACTAAGTCATCCTCTAAAATCTTATGTTTCGTAGCATACGAAAGCCAATAGACACAGCAGTAAAAAGAACAAAGTTATTAACAAAAGATTAGTTTCTCACATGGCGTTTAGAGTGAAAGAAATGCTGGAAAAGTTATCATGAGAGATAGCAATCAAATTATTTTCTTTACTAAAGCATAAGGTTCACTTAAATTTAGCCAAGCTCTTCCACAGAAACTTAACTCGGCATGTTTAGAATCAAAGTAGTACGAAGATTTTTATTCATAATGGGATCATTATAAATAATTAAAAGGTGTAAAGTGAGATCTTTATGAACGTAAAAAGCCAAATAACTTACTGATCTATGAATTCTACACTGACTCCAAATGCTTCTGCCATGTATCCTAACGTCAATGACCGGTAAGACTCTAGGAGCTGGCTGTACGCATGAATTCTCATTTCCCGTACATAGTATCGATAGTGAGGTGCAAACAGCCAATCTTTTTTCATCTCTTGCTCTACAATAGCTGAAAAGAAAAAAAACAAACTGAGTCAGTAATCTCTAAGAAATGTAAAATATCAGTTATGTAAATAAAACGCGTAACACCTGTTAATAAGTAATCAGTGTGAACGTAACCAGTGTTGCATTATTGCACACTTCGGGATACGAAAGGTATTCTACGCTAAAGCGAAGTAGATTCGTGTGATCCGTATCGGTTCTAGAACCAGAAGCAGCAGTAACATGCAAACAACATTGTGGCAAAGCTAACGACCCTGTTTGTCCGCAGAGAATACTTCTTTCCGGGTGTGAGCTAGTCCCCCTCTACTGCCGGGGACCCCCTCACCGAAGGCAAGCGCGGGGGCCAGCTGCCGCCTGGGAGCGAGGCGGTGCTGGGAAACAAGCAGCACTTGGTATGTAACTGCTTGAAGAAACGTTGTTACCCGAAGCTGGGTAAGGAAATAAGATTAACTTTCTGGTGCTAGCTCTTAAATTAGTTACAAGGATTTCCAGGCACGGAAGTGACTTTTTCTCCTGGGGGTTTTAGTTCTCAGCTAGCAGAAAAACGTTGCCCCTAGCTCTTAATCCCATCAGGCCTAGTCTTCCACAAAACGAACGGTTCTTTTTTTGCTTTTTCTAAGTATTGTATTTTCTTGTATTCTAAATCTCCCAGAAGGAAAACAAGCCGTCTGAGAATTGGCAAGAATGAGAGTTTTCTGAAAAGCTTTTCTTCAGTGTCACCCTTTTACACAGAAACCAGAGCAGAAAGCCAATGGTAACAACCACAGTGAAAACCTTCCATGTAATATCTTTTACCGGTTGAGATTTCAGGGCCTTTGGACTACAAGTCCTATAACTTCTTCCAAAGATAAAACCTTTCAAAGGTTTCTTGTCTGACCTGGCTCTTCAGGTAAGACAGTGCTCCGTAGCCATTTGAAAATGCTTTTTCACCTCATCAGATGGGACCTTTCAAAAAGCCCCCTGTATGCAAAGGTTGGTTGGCTTGTTTTAAAAATCAAGCAGCAGTAAATTTTAGGTCACTGTTTAAAAAAAAAACCAAACCAGCCTCTGGGGTTTTTTTCTGCATAAAGTAGCTCTAGTTCTAGACTGTAGCTACTCCACAAAAGTTGTGCATGATCTGAAACAAATAACTGAAGCGCCTGAAATAGTGCTGTAGGAAAAAACACAGCCTTACCTAACGACTGGAAAAAGGCGGCGTAACGGCATTCATAAAGAGAAAAGAGATACTGCCGTACAGCTGGCAAACTGTGTAACACTTCCAGAATCTCTGCTCCTTTAATAACCTGAAAGCAAACAAACAACATGTTTAAATACCATCACTTTCGGCCTGGAGATAAACAGGTTAAAGAAAGGCTGTGTCTGTCTGAACTGGTGTTTTCGTCTGCTTTCCTTACCTTTTCCCTAAGGTCAGGCCTGTCTAATGCAATCATGCTGACATAGACCGTGTACGTTACAAATGTTTTGTAATCCATAAGTTCATAGGATGTAAACGTCGAAACTGTATCAAGGAAGAGCTCTGCTGCTTGTTTGAAATCTCGAATAGCTACACAGTAAAGGCCCTGGTACACTTTGAGGCGATTTCTCCTGTCCCAGTCTCCTCCTTCTTCTATTAGACTTAAAATAGAACAAAAAGAAATATTTACTTATGTAAATGTATTATGTAGTAAGTTATATGACACAAGTACGGCAAATCACCGATACCATGTGATTAAAGAATAATTTGTTTTACGTTACAGCTTGTTGAAAGAGTCCGGGCTTTGTACACCTGCCAGGGGTAGGAAAGCGGCTTCCTGGGGACAGGAGAGGCCCGGCACTTTTGTTTGGTGCAAAACGCGTTGCACGCTTGCCAGGTGCAAGTTTCAACCGACAGGAAAAGTTTATAGCCTCTAAAGTCGTCACAACAGTCTTCTGAGATGTGCGTGCAAACATGGCTGCCAACCTTGGCTGTGGCAACATTATTTCCACTGCCTATGCTGCCAAAATCAAAGCCATCCAACTAGCAGCACAGAAAAAAATTAAAAGTTGCCACTTTTAATTTTAAGAGTGACATTAACACAAAATTGATGTGGTCGAGACAAAATCTGCTGAGAAGGCAACACAAAAAATCATTGCCCAAGGAACATGACAACTGGGAAGACCCTCTGCCTTGGCGTCTCATAGCACCGGCAAAGAGACTGGAAACCGCAGCTTGCTACAGGAACCACTGAAGTTCAAAACGTCGGGAGCACGGAGACACTGAAGCTAGCAGTGGAAACAAGGGAAGGACAGCTGCACCAAAGCACACCGTGCTGACACTGGGCTCTTGCTTCTAGAGGAAAAGCTGGCACTTCGTCGAGCCAGCTGGGTGGCACTGGCAGCAGCTGGATTCAGCTGGCAATCGTACAATCTAATCACACCCAAAGTTATTTGTCTTCCAACAGCTACAGAACAGAAACGTGCGAGGGGGGTGGGCTACAAATTAAAATCAAGTCAGCGGCTAGAAAACAGCTGACACAAAATATTAACCTTTCTTTTCTCTTCCCCCTCAAAAAAATCCAAGAACAGGAAGCTCTCCAGTACAAGGTAACACCCACCCATCACTGTCAATCTGTCTCACAACCAGTCTTAGTCATTTCTTGACAGCAAGGTATTAACCTTCCATTTCTTTTGTCTCAAAAGTGCTTTAGTGCACTCCAGCAACCCAAGCAGTACCTTTTTGCCTTTTCAATGTTCCGTGTGATGAGGTCGTTATCCATATAAAACAAGCCAATCCTTAGAAGATAGAACACAATATCCAGACGGTGTCCCAGCGCCACAGTTTTGTCGTAAGTCTTGCGGAACGCAGTCAGAGCTCCCTCCTAGCAAGACAGTATTTTCTACTATAAGAATGTTAAAAGCACCTAGAATATTTACAAAATGCCTGTCGTAAGTACACGCGTTGTCTTCTGCTGACAGTCGTGACTTTGTTAGTTTCCCACAGAACTTTAACATTATGCACTCTGAATCATCTTAAAGAATCAAAAGTTTAAATCAAGTTAAAAGAGACGATCCTCATATATCTTTTAAATCTAAGGACTAGGAAAATCTACTCTGTAACTTGACATTAAGTTGCACTATGTAAATAGCTTAGAAAAGGCTAAAGACACAAGGAAAGAGAAAAATAACATCTGCAAATGGAAAATAACTTTTTCCCTTTTCAAGAAAAAAATGTTTTCTTTTAAGGCCTCTTGTTTTTTTTCTAGATAATTTAAATTCCAGTAACACCCTCCCCTATTTCCCACCCATGTCTGAGTTGTGCCATAGAGAAACCACACCGTAGGTCACACAGCTTCCTCCCCACAAACAGCGCTCACTGGAACCTGCCCAGCTAAGAGGATTACGATGCAGTGTTTTTAATATGAGTCCACAAAGCCTCTGCCATGAACCAACCTTGTCCCCAATCCTGCACAGGTACTCAGCTTTGGCCATCATTGCATCTCGGATTTCACTCTCCCCCAAGATCTTTTCCGCATCTTCTAATTCGTTGTCGAGACGTTTCAGTTCTTCCTCGTTAGCTTTCTTCATTTTGTTCAACAGATCCACGTCTATCTGCCATTCAAGAGACTTGCAGAGCGCTTCATAATACGGGGCCATATCTGAAAGAAAAGCGGGAAGGCTTCAGCTATTAACTGCTGCAACAAGCGTGTGCGTGTTTCTAGAGCAGAGCACTCAAGGGCAATACAACTGGTCGTCAATGCCAGCTACGTCCTGTCTACAGTCAGGTACCTATTAACTCCGGGCATGACAGAGCCGGTGTTTCAGCAGGCCTTGCTTGTCACACTTCTGTCCACTGATTCTTTACTGCCGTTGCTCTCTTCACGCCTCTCCCACGTTCGCTTTCCTCACTACTCGCCTGACCCTGGGCGCAGCGGACCCCAGGGCTCAACCCGTGCCTTTTACAAGGCCAGCACGACGCCAACAGCGGCCAAAGCTGGGGCCGAGGCACCGCGCTGACACGACCAAGCCCCCCTCCCCCCTCCCCGTCGCTCTCGGACCGTCCGTGCCCCAGGGGCG